TGAAATTCAGTGTTGAATGGAAGGTGTAAAGAGAGGAATCATCATCGCTTTTACCGTATTCTCAAAGGGTTATGTGTGTCCCAGAAAGTGAAGACCTGGTGGTTCTAACAGTGGCCTAGAGAGTAAAAGGGGGGACACACTTCCTGTGGTACCATGACACCTTGGATAGTATGCGATTAAGGCACGAGTATGTTTCAGTCAGGCATTCAACTGCAGAGTCAAAGTAACGGCAGTGCTAAGGACGCAGCAAAGAATCGGTAAGGCTGCGTTTGTAAGGTCACAGCAGGTCACACTGTTTACTTAGGCAGAAATCATAGAACAATTGTCTCCCTTTTGAATACTGACTTTTCCCATCATCTCCTACTTACAGTCCTTCTCATTTTAAGAAATAAAAATGTACCTTTAAGAAAACTCATCAGTCCCTTCAATATTTTGTTGATCTTCAGTCATATGTGTATCCCCTAGCAGTTGTCCTTCACCTCCCTTAAAGCCATGTTGTGGGTACCAGTAAGTACTATGGTAAGATGCCGCTGTCAGTGGAGGACTAGAGTAGTATGCACTGAAATTGGAGGACTAGCTTGCTTATTGCTTCTGGACCTCAGATAGCCCTAAGTGACCTCATTCAAAGCTCACCAGCTTTGCAGTCCCAGAGTAACAGGTAGACCTCAGGGTTTCGCTGGGTGATCAAATGGAGCTGCTGAGAGGGAGCTGTTTTCAAGAGTAGATGCTCAGGAACCTAAAGATGGCTTCTAGGAATGGGTAAAGGAGCATGGGAATGTTAGGGCACGGCGGGCAGCAGGCCACTTACAGAGATGGAATAACCCGATGTAAGAACAAGTGCAAGAGAGTAATGCTATTATCCCCACTCAAAATGTGATATCACCTTCCACCCTTAGGCCTCTGGTACTTACACAGAGTATCTTCTCCAGCCACCGAAGCATTTCTTTTGACTATTTGATCACATCATTCAGTTCTTTGAAAAAGTTTTACTTTCTATCTGCCCCTTACTGATTCCCAAAAACTACCTGTGGGCCCACAGAAATATGTAAGCACCTTCTTCAGCTTCAGTTTCTGTACTGTAGTCTTCACAAACAGATTCCAATTCTAGAAGCTTGTTCACAGAAGTGAGAGTCTTAAGAAAAGAAATGGTACTAAGAAACTGGGAAGCATTGTTAGCCTCCCCCTCGCCCACCTCCCACCCCCGAGGAGGAAGGGAGGAAGAGAACTAACCCTGTTTGAACACCTGCTGGGTGCCATTCACTTTATGTGTAGTCTGTTTACTCCTCATGGTACCTCCTTGTAGTGAGTGTTATGATCCCTTTTACAGATGAACAAAGCGAAGTTCATAGTTTATGAGTTCTGAACCATAATGCTTTCCACACCCACCAGAGAGCAGCAACACCAGCTCCACAGGTTTGTGGAGGCAGCAGCCATGTGGAATAGGGCCAGGAAATGTGTTTTTGAGCTGCATTGTGTAGTTACAGATACAGTGTGTATGGATTTAGGATAATTTGTGGGGAGGCTAAAGACCCTGCAAGCTATCCCTTGGTGTTTTCTTTGAAGGGAGTTTTTAAGATAGAAATGAAATGAGTAGCTAATGAATGGGTAATTTTTAATTTCTAATCTTTGTTTAAACCATTAATGTTTTTCTTTATTCCAGTGAAATGTCACAAGTAAAAATGTAGAGAACATATTACAATTTTAACATGGTGGAAGGTAGAGTAAACATGATGGAGAAAAAATCCAGGGCAAGGATTAATAATTGAATAATGAAAATGTTAAAATAAATTTGAAAATATTCTTGAACTTTGACAAAAAATATATATAATAGATATGGGCCCAAATTCCTTTGATACTTACATCTGGGAATCTCAGGAAGTGAAAGGAGCATATTTAAAAAGAAACCTTAGGGCCGGCCGAGTGGCCCGTTGTTTAAGAGCTGGCTCGGGATGCCAGAGGGCCCCGGTTCGGATCCCACATAAGATGCTGAACAACAGCTAGACCTGGAGCTTGGCTGCTGTGAATCGCTGGCCACGGCAGGTGGGTTGCCATGGGCTACCGTGTGTGGCTGGCAGCCAGCGTGAGCGGCCAGCAGCTGCAGTGAGGGGCCGTCCAGAAGCTGGCGACTGATCTGCCTCACCCGGGAAGAGCGCAACGATGGTGCCAACTTGGGCCAGTGAAGCAACGTCCTCCACAACTAGACTGAAGAACAAAAGGACAGCAACTTGTCTGTTCCCCTTCCCCCAATTCCCCGATAAAAAAAAAAAAACTTTAAAAAATAAATAAAATAAATAAAAAGAAAGCTTAGAGCAACACTGGACTGAGAGTTAAGAAGATTAAGTTCTTCCTCCTCTCCACCTCTACCCAACCCAACACCATTCCATTAGCAGTTCTGGCTCCCTCTTTCTTTCACTGATTCAGAAAATGTTAACTGATCCCTCCTATATGTCAGATACTATTCTAGATGCTATGGATTTGGCAGTGAAAAGGATAAACAAAATTCCTGTAGCATAGAGCTTAAATTTTAAAAGGGAAAAATAGGTAACAGATAGATATTAATGTTTTAGATAGTGGTGTTAGGGTGAAAATTAAGTAAGCTGAGGGGTAGGAGAGTGCCTGGTGGGGGTTCAGTGGTATATTTTAGATAAGGTGGTCAGGAAAGGCCTCTGAGAAGCTCCTTGGATTGTGATTGGACCTTCTGGGACTCAGACTGTCCATATGTAAAATGATAGCATCGTTAGGTGATCAGTAAATGGCTGCAAAATTCTGTCCTTTCTTTAAGGGATATATCTTTGTGTCAAATAATCCTTTGTATATATAAGTTATGGTCTTTGTTGTCCATTGATCTCAAAATGTAATAAAAATGTTCATTGATTCCCAGGGTTGATTCCATTTTACATTTGAGGAACTTAAACTGAGAGCTAAACGCCTTCCCAAAGGTTGCATAATAGTAAAACAAGGATTAGAGCTCTCAATTCCTGCCATTTCTCAGTATGAAAATTCCTCCTCTCTATGTGATATAATAAGTGGAATTGAAATGTCACAGCAGTTCAAAGTAGATTAGACATGTGTAAGCTATGATAGGCTGAAATATTTACAAATAAGGGATTGGATAAGTATAACCCACTGCACTCATTTATGGCAGGCAAGTAAGCCATGTGATATGCTTTAAGCCAGTTAAAATGGCAAATCTACCCCCCCTCCAAGAAAATCTATAATTTTAATCAAAAGTTTGTTTCAGTCATTGAAATTCTATTATTGCTGCTTACAAACATTAAAGTCAATCAAAACATCAGTAGCTTTGCAAGATCAATATTTTTAATATGTTTGCATTGCAGTACTGCAGATTTTTGGCTAATGGATCGCACCCATATTGATTTCCATGGGAAATGTTAGTCTGATACTGAAATAATTAAAAAAAAAACAGAGGGATTATTGGTTTAGAATTTTGAAGGAGATAGAAGTATAAAAATTGGTTATTGACTAAATTGTTTGGGGTGAGTGAACCTTGGGCACTTGCAATAAACTTGTAGCACTCAGTCATTACTGACTACTACCTCAGTCCCTTAAACTGAAAATCAATCAATAACCTATTATAACAATGCAAATTGTGGTGCAATAACATACTAGGCATGTAAGAATCACATTTTATCCAAACAGATATGCATAAGCATGTGTATGGGCATATTGAAAACGTCTACTGAAACATAGTGATTGATTTTGACTTCGACAATCCTGCTGAAAATAGTTTGAGTAGCATTTTTAAAGAGATAAACTAGTATAAAATAACAGTAAAAAGAAGCATACAATTATTCTATGAACAATAATGAAAGTGCATATGCTACAGCATGTCGAATGACAGATTCTCTTATTTTGATTCAGAGCAAAATTACAATTGTTACTCTCTTCTCCAAAGTATTGCAATAATGTATGCAAGCATTAGATTAGATACAAACACATTCCGCACAATATGAATCTAATGCACATTACATTCCTCATGTTTTTTAGCCTATCGTTAGAGCCATATTTTCATCTAGAAAGTTTCCTCTGTGTTTTCATTCGGTTACCATTATAAATTTATGAATTCTTTATCTCTCAGAGGGAATCTCATGTTTTAGAGAGAACACTTTTTAATGTCTCAATATAAATTCAGACCAATATAATAGTTCTTAGAAATAGCAGTTACATATTGTGCTGTATATTTTTATTTACTTAATTTTAAAAATGGCGTTATTTATATATTATAGAAACATTTGCTTTGAGAGGAACATGGGATTAAAAGATAAAACTAAAAATTAGTAGTCACACTGTTGAATTTTTTTGCCACCTCTGTAAGCCTGATCAATATTTTCCATAGATAATAAGTTGAGCTCTCTTTATAAAGAGAAAATTAGTCATGTGATTCCCTCCTTGCATGAGGCAGTAGCACTTGAACAATATACATCATCACTCCATTTCAATTTAGTGTTAATCTTTCATTACCATTTTTGCCAAATTTCTTTTACCCTATTCTGACTTCTTTTTATCTTTATCATATTAACTAACACAACCCCCAAGTTCAGTTGATCAAATCTTATTTCTTCCTCTTCTGTTTGAAATTTATACCTGAATGTGACTTTTCTCAAACACTGTCTCCTCATCAGCAAGGCAGTTAGGACATTCTGTTTTGATGGATCCAGCCGTCACAATGATTTACAAGACATGAAGCCTCTCTGTTATCTAACGTTATGTATGTCATACCTGAAAATAGCCAAGTTGTACAGTGTAGATATTTATATGTAAGGTGTATAAATACTCACAGTCTTTGCTAAATCATTCAATGGCTTTCTGCTATGGGTATTATTAGACAACTGTCCGTGGTCTTAAAAATGATCAGGTTCTCATTCCCTAGCCTGCTGTTTCTACATTTTCATATACAATTGCCCTTCTGTTGTTTATGTCTTTGTAAGAATTCCAATCAGAATATGTGTCACTTACCATTGTCAGGGAATGTAATATTGTTTCTTCAGCAGACAGAATTTGTGCAATTCCCAGTTAGGATTTCCAGTTGTCTAACTAGTCAGGGAGCTAGGCATGATGAAAATGGGAAATCATTAGCTCTCAGAAACCCAACAGAGCAAATGCATGGTTCTGCAAGGCTCACAGCCCACTCCCACACCCACACGTGCCTCTGCTCAAAGCTCACCTAGGCCACTAGTGCAGTGTCTACTCAGGACAGTTCCCCTCTGACAGCTCTCTGGTAACCTGCAAGGAGACTTGTAATTTGTGATTTGCTCCATAACATCCCTGGTGTTTTTACTGACTCTCAGCAAAAGCCAAGCCAGCTTCTGTCTGTGAAGGGAGTATCTGAGAGCAGAGCTGAGGCTCTAGAAGATAGATTGTTAAATTTATTTGTGGACCCTGGACATTTAACAAAATCTGTTGCACTCAGTAGACAGCACTCAGATTAAAAGAGGTTGTTCTCCATTTATTGGGAATGTCAGAAGACGGGGGAGAGAGGATTCCAAAGAGCTGCTCCTACTGCCAACTTGTTATATTAATGGGCGAATGAATACCAGTGTCAGAAGTTCATACCACAGTATGAACAAAATGATTTCATTTTAATTTTTAAACAAAACAGACTTTTGCATTCTAAGTCATGCTGATAAAAACTCATCCTAGAATCAAACTATTCAGACAGTCCATACCAAGCCTTACCTATAAGCAGCTAGAAAATACCCAGTGGTCTTTATTTGTTAACAAATTATTACCCAGGCATGCTGCTCAGAGAGTGTGTAAGATAATGGTTAAGAGTACAGACTCTGGAGCCACGCTGCCTGAGATCACATCCTTTCTCTGCCACTTGCTTTCTCTGTGACCTTGGACAAGTTGCCTAACCCCTCTGTGCTTCCATTACTTCACTTAAAATCTAACAACAATAAAGCTTCCCTCATAGGGTGTTGTAAGGATTAAATATTTGTGAAGCATTTATTACTTGATTTTTATATACAATCTGTTCTGACGCCTGTGCTGTTAGCAGCAGAAATAAAAGACTTTAATCTTTGTTCATCTTCTCTGTGAAATCCCCACTCCTGTAAACTGGGAGAGGTACCTCCATCCTCTCTCTATGGCGCTCCTCACCACCCCACCAGAGTGTGTATCAGTGTATAGCATCTATTTACCTGTCTCGCCCACTTCCATTAAACTGTAAGCTTCATGAGGACAAAAACTATGTTTTCAGCATCACTGCATCAATGCCTAGCATATAGTTTGCACTCTACAAATAATTATTAGATCCATGTTAAATAGAATATAATAAAAGAAGTAGCACAAATATTTAGCATATTCATCTAGAGTTTTGCTTTGACTATGTTACTGTCCTGGTTCCACAGACAGTGACATGCAGTGAATGATTTATTTCCACTTCCTTGTACTAGCCTCTGCCTAGAATGTTCTACCCTTAGGTAACCACAGGGCTCACCCCCCTCACTTCCTTCAGGTGTGTATCCACGTGTCACCTTCGCCATGATTCCTATCCTGACTGTCCCATTTAAAATTGCATCTCTGCCACTTTTCCTTTCTGTTTTGTTTTTCTGTAGCATTTATGACAGTCCAGCCCTCTATGTATCTGAGTGATTTGCTATGTTTATGATTTGTTTTTGGCCTCCCCCCCGCCCGTCCCTGAAATGTAAGCTTTGTCGGTTTTCCTCAGATCTTTCTCCAGCATGTGGCACTGAGTAGGCAGGTGGTTTTAAAATGTCTGTTGAATTAATAATTTCAGTGCACTGGGGCTCCCAATTTCAAAATAAGTGTAAGCAAATTTACAGGTCAAGGATAATCAACAAAATTAGAAACAAGAATGCATGAATTCCTTCCATCTTGAGATCAGTCATATACGGATTTTGACTGTGCTGAACATACACGCACTTCACCTCCCTCAGCTTTTAAACCCAGCCTCCAAATTCTGATAGTCGTTTTACCAAAATATCCCTCCAAGGGTCACTCAGGAATATATTGCAAGTTATTTTATAAAATAATATATATTTAAGACTATGTCTTTAATATGGGATCCTTATGCTAGAGGCATTTTTTTAATGGTTAAGCCCTGAAGCAAACTGCTTCTTTAAATATGTGAATATGAACTTTCCATAGAACGTGAAGGCAGAACCTCTGCAAGGTTTTAATTAAGAGTAATTAAAATATCTATATTAAAATATGTTTCATTCTGCCAGCTTAGTAGGGGTTTTATTTCAATAAAAAGTTTTTTTTATTTTTTTTACATGTTACAGCATAAAATGCCACATTGCCCAGTATCAGCAGGGAAAATGTGGTATGCTGAAGTGGTAAGCAGCAATGTGATTTATAAATTAATTCCCTTCATTATTTTTTTAACTTTATTAAATTTATTGGGGTGACTGGTTAGTAAAATTATATAGGTTTCAAGTGTACAATAATGTAACACATTATCTGTATATCACATTGTGTGTTCACCACCCAGAGTCAGTTCTCCTTCCGTCACCATATATTTGACCCCGTTTACCTTCTTCTGCCATCCCCTCTCCCCCTTACCCTCTGGTGTCCAACATACTGTTGTCTGTTTCTATATATAAGTTTTTGTTTGTCTTTGTTTGTTCATTTGTTGCTTTCAGTTTTATGTCCCACATATGAGTGAAATCATATGGTTCTTGACTTTTTCTGTCTGACTTACTTTGCTTTGCATGATAATCTCAAGATCCATCCAAGTTGTTGCAAATGGCAGTATTTCATTTTTTCTTATGGCCGAATAGTAATCCATTGTGGAGATATACCATATGTTGTTTATCCAGTCATCTATCAAAGGGCACTTTGATTGTTTCCATGTCTTGGCCACTGTAAATAATACTGCAATGAACATAGGGTTAGATATATATTTACAAATAAATGTTTTCAAATTTTGGGGTTAGATACCCAGAAGACAAATTACTGGGTCATGTGGTAATTCTATTCTTAATTTTTTGAGGAACTTCCATACTGTTTTCTATAGTGGCTGCACCAATTTACATTCCCACCATCAGTGGATGAGGGTTCCATTTTCTCCACAACCTCCCCAGCACGTCTTAATACTTGTCTTGTTTATAAGAGCCATTCTAATAGGTTTGAGGTGACAACCCACCACTCCCCTGCATTTTTTTTTTGTTAAAAACTATTTTATTAAGATTAAACTTTCACTTGGGTGATTATTTAAATTCATTAGAAGGCATAAAACAAAAAATTGAGTAAATTATATAGGAAGTAGAAAGGAGTTGTATGTGAGGAAACATTTAAAAGTATAAAGGCTCTGTGTCATACATGAGGTGAGATTTTCACTCAACTTGCTGTTTGTAGGATTATCTAGCTACTTAAATAATGGTATAATGAAATGATTTAAGTAAGCTTGGGTTAATAAGAAGGAAAATTTTTAAACAAAAGACTTGAAGTTAAGTGATTGGTTACTCAGATGGTCAGGGAAGCTGGGTGCTATTTACCAAAACAAGGTAACTTGCAAGTGTTTGTAAAGGGGAGAGAGATGTAGAAAATACCAAAACCCAAAGGGAAGAACAAATACATGAGAGAACCAGTAGTAATTAGTACAGATGAGACAAAGCTGTCTCACAGTGTAAGATTTGAAAAGCGCACAGGTATGAGGATGAAAGGAACTCAATAAATGTATAAGTAGAGAGATGGTTTATCCTTTTTCTCAACATAAAGGAAGATCTAGCCAAAGATGTCTTTTTAAATAAGAAAGCAACATGAAGAAGATAAGAGCTGTGAGCCTGGTCGTCATTGTAGCATTTTTTATTCATAATTTCCCACCAAAGAATTTTGATTCATATTTTTCCACTTTCTCTCACCACTGCATTTCCCATATTAGTCTTTCTATACCAGTGGTAAAATATAATTATCTAGAATGTGTAACATGTTGAAATAATAACATCCTCATCCATGAAAAAATGTTTAATGAGCATTTACTATGTGCACAGCTTATTCTGCTCTTAGAAAAATAAAGGACAGTAGAAAGAAGATACAAATTCATAAATTCAATGAATCCAGGAAAAAGGAATAAGGATCACAAGAGAGGTATTGATGTGAGTAATAGAGAAATTTGGGAAAAGGTGTGATTCTATCTAAGATCCAACAAGACATTCAGTGATTGAGGAGGGGAGGTTCATTAAGCTGAACCTTGAAAAATGAGTAGGATTTGAAGATTCATAGAAAGGAAGAAGAATATTTCAATGAGAATTATCAACTTGAGCAAGGGCTTGAAAGTATAGAATATCTTACATAAGCATTGACAATAGCAAGAAGGGCATTTGGTAAACGTGTCATGAGTGTGAATGGAGAATAAGGAAAATAAAGTTATAAGTTAAGTGGGAATGAGATGACAGAGAACATTAAATGATAGGCTAAGGAGGGTTTGTTTGTTTTTTTCTTTAAGCCCTGGGATCAAAGGTTTTTGAGGAAGGAAATGAACTATCAAAGCTATATTTCAGAAACATTGATCTAGCAAGCTAGGAGTAAAGTACAGATGGTGCAAAAAAAAAAAGTATACACATTTTAAGAATGAAAAAAATCTCTATTAAAATTGAAATACTAAATATATACCAATAACGAAAGATGAATACAAGTCATATGTATACATTTTTTTGGCACCTCTGGTATATTGAGAAGGAAAGGCTGAAGATAGCGAAAATGCAGTTCAAACGTCATTATTAAAGTACCTGCAAAAGGTAATGCGATCTAAATACAGGCGGAGAGAGTGAAACTGAATAGAGGGAATAAAATCCGAAGATCCACAGACACAGAATCCATGTGACTTGGCCATGGAGTCATCTTAAGTTTTTTTTCAAATAGGTCACTTAGCTATTTAGTGGAATCACTGAAAGAATATCCCATAGGACAGGGTAGTTTTAGTGGAGGTTCAGGAAAGATTTCATGCATGGAGATGCCTACAAGTCAAGATATTGCAGTGGCAGACCAAGAACAGCTTTAAGACACTGGGCATTGGCGAGGCTGCTAGAGAAGAAAGCATAGAAACAGGGACTTGAAATTAAACTTCTTACATTCAAACTTTATATATATTTTTTAAGCTATTTCAGAATTCAGATAATCTTGCTGTCTTCTAAGATTACTAAGCCTTTAGGATACTTTCTTCTGGAAGCCAATGATTGGTTTTGCAGAACAAAGTTATCCCAGGGCCTTAGTAGGGAGGAGGTGACATAGATTGAAAGATGATTAAATGGGAATAACCTGATTTTGATGGGGAATGTTGAGTAGATACAGACTAGGTCTCCAGAGTTTCTTCTGATTGGATACCACAGTGACTACATTCCAACTATGTCCATTTAGTAATAAGTGCTGCCATTTGCAATCTGTGCATTACTGCAAAATATCATTCTGATATGTTTGCACTGACTTTTTGACTCCACGTTATACTCCAACTTATGCTTTCTTAGGAGGTGAAACATACCTTTTCTATTTGTTGTTTACACAGTAGTTTTGTGTCCTCTTCCAACCAGGAAGTAAACACATTGAAGGAAGAATAGACTTTTGAAAAGCCCCCTCAAACATTCATCCTTTTTTTTTTATGATTTTGAAACTTAAGAGAAAAGTAAGGTTGTTACATTGGGTTTGAAGAGGCATTTAATAGGGAGGCATTTGGGGAGTTCCTTAGTAGCCCAAACCACTTCCAAGTAATGCTGAAAACATCTTCACAACATTATGCAAAAGTTCAGATATATAGATTGATTTTGATGTTCTGGTGATCTATTTTTGCACAACAAGCCATCCAAAAACTTAGTGTCCTAAAACAACAATGTATTGTCTTTCATGGTTCCATGGGTTGACTGAGCTCAGCCGGGACATTCTTGCCTGGGATTTCTCATATGATTATAGTCAAATTCCGACTAGGGCTGGAGTCATCTGAAAGGTCACTAAGCTGACATCCAAAGTGGCTCATTCACGTGATTTACAGTTGATGCTAGCTGTTGGCAGGGGACTCACCTGGGGCTGTCTCCTGGAGCAGAGCTCATGGCCTTTCCACGTACCTTGGGCTTCCTCCAGCAAGTGCTGGGTGCTAAGAGGGAACATCCAACGAGCAAGTAAGTATTCCAGGAGTCCCAAACAATAACTGCAAAACTTATGACCTAGCCTCAAAAGTCAGGCAGCTTCACTTCCCCCATATTCTGTATTCATATAGAAAGTCGTGAGGCTAGCCCACATTCAGGGGGCAGAGGTATACAAGGGCATCCATATCATGAAGCGTGGCTCAAGGTGGGGATGGATAGGTCGGGGAGAGGAAGTATCTGTCTTTGGGAACTGCTACCACACACAGTAAAACAGTAAAGCAGGATTACCGGGGAAAAATAGACCAGTATCCAGTAGTAGGGTGTTAGTGAATGATGTTTCTGCCACTGGTGGAGTTCATGGTCCTCATTTACTCCTTTCAGAGGAACTTACTCTAAATCTCTTTTCCTAGCTCCCTTTCTCTAAGGGTCCTCAGATTTTTTTCTCAGTAGACCTAAATGTCTCCAAAGGTGTCCAGACATGGTAACATATGAAACATTTTTCATATTGTATTGTTTCTTCTTATCCCTTTGCTTTTAGTCCTTTACAAGACTGAGCATGAGCAAGGTACCATTTTATCTTCAAGGTTCATTCAGCTAGCATTAATTTAAGGACAATATGCTTGTCACAGGACCCACAAAGAAACATAAGTCAGCTTTTTCTCAAGATACAACCAAACCAGAGGGAGAAAAAGGCCTGTATTGACTAAGGTAAAAAAAGGTAAGCTGCTAACAAAAACAAACAAACAAACAAAAACAGATATATAGAGGATATAGATATTTATGTCCAAGGTCGGCATTCCAGGTAGGCAGATGGCTCTGCCCCACACAGCCAGGTTCAGGGACCAGGTTCCTTCCATCCTGTTTCTCTGCCATCACTTAGGCAGTATTGTCGTCTGCATGGTCACAGCTAGGTTGCAGGTTCATCAATATTCTGGATCACAGGAAGGGGGAGATAAGAACATGGAGGAGTCATACACACTTCTTTAAGAAAATAGCCAGAAGTGGCACAAATCAATTTCATACTCATTGTATTGGAAAGGGCTTCAGTCAAATGGTCACACCTAAGTGCAGGGAACCCTGGGAAATGTAATGTGTTGGGCATCCATGTGCTTCATTACAATTGCTTTAGCAAAGGTTTTCATAAACACTTAGCAGTCTCCACAACAGCATGTAAATAAATCATTACAAAGCAATGTGATAAGTGTTACACTAGATAAACATACAAAGTGCTATAAATGCACAGTGGGGAGTCACTAGCTTAGCTTGAGTGTTTAGAGAGGGTTTTCACAGAAAGTAAAATTTGAACTGTTTCCAAAAGTAATGACTAGAGATAAATAGGGCATTCTACACAGAAAAATAAGCTCTTTTGCTGAGGTACAGTATACCAAACAGTGTAACAGGTTCAGGGAATGGCAAAAATTTAGTATGGCTGAGCACAAGAGTTCATGAGATGAGGCATTATAGAAAAATTAGGTCCTTAAGATAAGAGGGGGTCCTGCTAAGGACTAACTTGGACTCTATCCTCTAGGTATAGTGGGAAGCCATCAGAATTTTATAAGTTTGGCACTGGCATGATCAGATTGGTGGTAAGGGTAGACTACAGGAGAAGAGATTAAATAAGTGGAGACCAGTTAGTATATTTGGAGAGGGGTGGAGGAGCATGATGAGAATTAAATCAAAGGGGTTATCATGGAGATTGGAGAGAAAGGAATAGATATCTAGGCAACAGATACTATGACTTACTTACTGCTTAGATGGGAAGGTTGAGAAAGAGAGATGAGTACTTCCTCCTTTTGCAAGGTGGATGATTGATGATGCTATTAACCAGTACAAGCCCAAGAAGAGAAAACAAGTTTCCTCAGGGTGAGATTTTTCATTTGTTTTTAGACATAAAAAATTTTGGGCATCTACCAGATGTCCACATTTCTGACCCACTTTTGCTGGGCATGAGGATAAGGAAAAGAGCAGAAGATGACTCTAAGGACTGGCTTGACTCCAAATAAATATCTTTATTTTTTAATTATGTGAGCAGATATCTGGGACAATGTTGTGTCTTGGCAATAAGGGGACCCAGTTTGGCCTAGCCCCGGTCTGTGACACTAAGACTTTTAATGATGCATCATCCATTTTACAATGCCAGAGTAATGCATGCAGTGCCATGGGTTTTGACACAATACTCATTCCCTTGTGTTCAGCCACTCTGTACCTGCCACGTGCCAGGTCCTGTACTAGGTGATAAGGACACATTTATAAAGCAGAAAAAACAGCCACTGCTCTCAAATAACTAAGGCCTGAAAGATGTAAGAGTTAGCCATTTCTGGTTGGTGAGGGTGGAATTCTGTATAGGGGGTGATGATGAAGGTGCAGAAAATAGTTTTCCAGCTTCCAGGCAGAGACAAGAGAATACATTCTACATTTGAAGACTGAAGAAAATCCAATATTGCTGGAAAGTACATGATGGTAGGGTAGTAAAAAAAAGTGAGGCTGGAGAGATCATTGGGAACAAGATCATGGAGAGCCTTCACAACCTTGTAAAAGAACTTGGAAGGAAGGAGTCTAAGAAAGGGAATGTAACGTGATTAGATTTGCATTTTTCAGTGAACATTCTAGCTGTGCTAAGGGGGAAGTATTGGAGGATGGTGGGATGACAAGGGACTAAAGCAAGACTAGTTAGGTTAGGATGGCCTGGCTGAAGCAGCAGAGATGGAGAAAATAATGGGATGTGAGGAGAGCCACCAGGACCTGAATTGATGGGTGATAGAATGGAAAGCGTCAAGGCCGACGCCCGGTTTTTGGTTTGGGCAATTGTATGGATATTCTATCATTAACAGAGAAAATGAAGACAGGAAGAGAAACACATTTGTGGGAGAATTATGAGTTCAGTTTTGACATGCTGAGTTTGCAGTGCCCTTATAAGATTTCCAAGTAGAAATGAACAGTAATCTATTAGATATATTGACTGAAGCTCAAGAGATAGAGATTTGCAAATGATAGGACTGATGAAGACCTCTAGGAAAACACGTTCAGTGAGAAGCACAGTATTTGCTGGTGCAGCAAGGTCCCTGAGCAGCCACAAAGAAGGAGCCACTAGAGAACGAAGGAGCCCGAGGAAAGAAATCCAGGGGAAGAGTATGCTCCAAGCCAGAGGGGTGGCCAGCAGTGTCAAATGCTAGTAAAGGTCTCTTGTATGTAGGGTATACTAGAAAAGTAAAATTGTTATTACTCATTTTAATCATTGTCAATCTACAAAAAAAATCATAATTTGTGTTTATTTGATAAGCAGGAAGTTGAACATATTTTTATGTAATTATTGTCCATTTATATCTGTCTTATAAATTACCAGGTCTCTTTTTTAATTGAGTCTTTTTCATTTCCTTATTGATTTGTAGGAGTCCTTTATAAATGGTGGATAACAATCCTTGTTATATGTGGTATATTTTTGCCCAGTTTACCTTTTATCTTTTTATTTTGCTTATGAGTATTTTTTTTTCCATACAGGTTTTAATTTTTAGGGAGCAAAAAATATCAATCATTTTTTCTGTAGTTTCTGGTCTTATTGTCATGCATTAAGTTCCACCCCGCAATTATATACAAATTATCTTTTATTTTCTTTCATGCCTTTACAATGTTTTTAAACTTTTACATCATAACATCTGGAGGATAAGATCTAGGATTACATAATACAATGGCTGAGCAGTGCTGAGGCCCAGTTGTGGTTCATGATGATTTGTTTGTGGGGACAACAATCTGTTAGTCAGAGAGAAGCCAGTGGGCTGGGCTCCTCCGACATGGGGGTTTCCCAGCCAAGTGCACTTACTGGACAAGGGGCAGGGCAGTTTAGGAAAACATACTGAAATGTTGGACCATTAAGCAGTTAAAGGAAGAGAAAACAGGAAAAGGCCAGTAGGGAAAGCGAGTGAATGTACTGGAAGCTCTATAAAAAAATTTTTGAGGTTGGAACAGGATTATTTGAATAATACGGTTAAAAAGATAGGAGGTTGTGGTCAAATGGGGGGAATGTGTAAATTTATTATTTTAGAAGAGTGCTGCCATGTCAATTTAAACATTAAGAGCCAGTCGTGGAAGCGGAGTGGAGCAGGAGGTCATTGAAGATCAAGGAATGGAGAGCTTAGAGTATCAGGCAGATTGTTCGTGTAAATGCTGGAACCCTCAAGATTATAGCTGGACTTGGATGAAGGGAAACATCCTTTGAACATCTGGGACTTCTCTCACCATCACCTCGGGCAAACCTCATTTATCTTTAAGAGACCCAGTCCCAGTTGCTAAAGCACAAAAAGTCAAAGCTCCTTAGAAATCAGTAGCAAAGTCAGAATCAGAACCATCCGCCTTCCTGCTTCTGGTTGGTTGGTTGGTTGGTTGGTTGGTTGGTTGGTTGGTTGGTTGGTTGGTTGGTTGGTTTTGAATGTGAAAGCAACTGATAATATATGTAAAGCACTTAGCTCAGTGCGTAACACATATTATTAGTCAATTCATTGTAGCAATTATTATGATACTACAGAGAGAGGATTTGTGCTTTAAGTTGGCGTTTGTTTAGTAGTCCTTTCAAGTTTAAGGTTTGGAATTTCAGCATCCCTGGCCCTGCATAAAACTGACCAGGCAGCTTCAGTATGATATTGTTTCTGGAATCCCCAAGAGATTTGGAAATGCATCTGAGAAGCAATTAGAGCCACATATTCAAGCCCCAGGGAAAGTAAAAAGAGGCAAAGAAGGAGAGAACAAAGAAGCTAGAAGGAACTTTTTAGATTTTAGATAGAACAAATACTGGTGAGTTTTCTTTCCCCTCACCCTGACACATTTGCAGATTGCGGAGCCACACCCTCAGAGAGCAGAAGAAAATCCTGGGTGAGGCCCAGGATCTGCGTTTTTATCGAGTACCTCTTGCTTGGCTGCAGTGTACCCGCTCACGCTTGAGAACCACTGACTTTAGATTTTAGTCTCGGCGTTTCTTTTTCCAATATATTTGTGGGACACAGTGTGATGAAGAAGATATGAGTTTATGGTTATTTTATGTTTTTTAAACTGTATTTCCAATCTGAAAAATACTCAAGTTCACCAGAATGCATACAAGTAAATAGAGGAATTTAAGATTAACTAGTCTGAGTCTTCTTTCCTTTTTTCACTCAGTTAAAATAATTTTTCACTCTTCATCTTGTCTTAATAAAGAAAAACTAAACCCTTGGCAGCTAAAGTTCATATTCATTTATATATATTAAAAAAGAACTAATGTAAGCTGTAAATATAACAAGGCTACTTTATAATCTGATAGCATTTTTCTATAGTGAAGTTCAAAATGAATATAAGATCCAAAATGATCTAAGTCGGTGACAAAATAAGTATTTCCGAGTCATACAACCTTATTCTAACTTTTATTGTCCACTCAGAATGAGGCAGTTCACAGAATATAACTCTTTAGTTGCTATTTACACAACTTTTGCTGCAGTTTTAAGTTAGAAAGTGTAAAAGTAATGATTCTCGCTATGACACTTAAATATATAGCAACATTGCAAGAAATATAAATGCTGCAAACTAGATTTGTTAAGATAATGTAGTTAAATATTATGAGAATTCTAACATTTACCCTTTCTATAATCTATGTTCACTTGTTTTCAAATTTTACCTTATGTGACTTGGTTACTAAACAGGATTTTTTTTTTTTAAGATTTTATTGGGGAATTGGGGAAGGGGAACAGCCAAGTTGTTGTCCTTCAGTCTTAGTTGTGAAGGATGCAGCTAGCTCAGATCCAAGTCTAGTCGCCATCCAACCGCCTGTCGGCAGCTCAGGGCAGCTCAGCTCAAGGTGCCATGTTCAGTCTTAGTTGCAGGTGGTAGAAGCACGTGCTGTCACCAGCTGAGCCATCCTGCCACCTGTTGGCAGCTCAGCAGCAGCTCAGCTCGGGCACAGCTCACTGGCCCATATGGGAATCGAACCGGCAACCCAGTTGCTCAGAGCTCTCACGCTTAACCAACTGAGCCACTTGGCTGGTCCTCAAGAATTTTTTGTTTACACATTTTATTTATTTTTTTAGTGTAAATGATACAAACCTCTGTGCTAGGCACTACGAGAAGTTCAAAAAGGAAATAAAAACACCTATTCTCCAAGGACTAGAGAATGACTAGGACTTCATGATTAGATATTCAAATAAAAATAATTCACACTAACTTTTAGTTTAGTTTAACATGGTTTTTGAACTGCTTTTTCTCTGAATCTTACCCACAAGTGTACTGAGGATAGTCATAGCTGTGTGTGCAAGTATGTTGATACAGGTGCACTTTGTTGATCCATTTCTTCACTTAGTAACTATTTACTGAGCATGTGGTACATGCTTGGAACAGGGATGAGTGGCAAATGAGACGATGAAGAAGTGATGATGTTGATGATGATCATTGTGGCTAACATGTATTGAGTGCTCTCTATGCACAATATTTATGGGGATCAATCCTCACAGTAACTATAAGAGGCAGATTTTATTACTATTCCATTTTACAGGAAAGGGAACAGGTTTACAGAGGTCCCCAGCTATGAAATAGTGCAACCACAATTCAAACACTACAGATCTGAGCCCAAAGGCCAGGTTTTTAACTAATAAACTGTGAAATATACTCTTTTTTTCTCATGGAGCATATATGCTAGAAATTCATTTATTTACAAATATTTAGAGTATCTGTTATGTGCAGGTACAGTCGTAGGCCCTGGGGTACAGTGCCATTGCTGTCATGGCTCTTACCTTCCTAATCCTCTGGTAAGGGTTAAAAAAAAAAAAAAGGAAGAAAACACATACTAATGCAAGTCATAAACATAATTAATTACATTTATAAGAATTACAAAACTATTGACTATAACACAAAGTGTTAAAAAAATACTGCATATTCATTCAGATATTCAGGAAGGGCAATGTTATTTTTGTACTTTAAAAGAAGTTCATTTTCATCTATGGTTAAAAATGTATGTCTTACTTTTAAAAGAAACCTTTTTGCTTAATCAAAACTTATTCAAGAGCTGTTTCTTTCAGTTCCTAAAAGGGGAAAATTCATATCTAAAAATGAAAACGTTTCATGAGGTTGGGAAGTCACTAAGGCCTTGTGTCACTTGAGGCTAAAATTTATCTGAATTTCAGAATAATTTATAATTGCAGTGCCAAATATTACTGTGCAACACTCATTTTTTTCAATAGGTAAGACCAAATCAATTATGAAGAAAGTTACCTCAGAAAGGTACACTACAGTCCAAAATTAAGGAACTGTTAAGTACTTTACAATTTTATCAAATTAACTTATTAATTCTAATAGTTGACCTTTTAAAATATCTGTTACTGAATCACTGTCCTTCTTATATAAATATTTCAATTATTTTATACATTTAGTATATGTCAACGAAGTTGGAAACTCTTGTCTGAGCAGTCACCATTTGACATTTATAAAAATTGGTTAATGTTTCTGTAAGTCACTACGTATTTAGTTTCTAAATGAACATTTAGGCCCCTGGTTTAGATTCTTCTCTTTCCTCTGGTTTTTATTTTGTCATTAATAGTCTCACCATTATCATCATTTAAAATGATATGAGGTACAATCTTATCTCAGAGATAATGCTGGTTTGGTTCCACACCACCGCAATAAAGCAAGTATAGCAATAAAGTGAGTCATAATCTTTTTGCTTGTTGAAGGTCTTGCCTTCAATTTGTAAAAAACAACTTCTGTGAAGCACAATAAAGGAAGATATGCTTGTGCAAGAGAATGTGCTAAATTCTGTCATGCATAGCCTGTGCCTAACCTCAGTGAGCCTACACAGTGTAGCCAAAAGAAG